GAAGAATTCTACATTCAAGAAAATGTCATAACGCAAGTATTCAACAAAATTATAAAATTCTCAACAACATAAATTGGGTCAACATTAACACGGTCATTCTAAAACTTTTTAGTGACTAATACTCAAACTCCAACAGTCATTATCCAAAACCAGAAAAAGGATTTTGTTGAAACTTATTTTTAACTTATTGAGTTATTAAGAAATTAAAGGAAAAAAAAATAGTGGCAAATAAATTATATTTAATAATACCTTCACATTAAGTTTTTGTTATACATTTAATATAAATATTTTAAATACAATATATTATGAGAAAGTCAGCAAATAAAGAAATAATTCACAACATTTAGGATTTCAGAGAAAATCTAGTTTGACACCTTGTATCGACTGTGGAACGGAAGTATGGGATTTTAATATGAAAACAGATGCCTAGATTGCCATATCAAAATACAACAAGAAGGTCGTGGAAACTATCTCGAGAGAATTAGACAGGAGAATTTGGAGAAAATAATATTGGAGGAAGTATTCAAATCAGATAATGAAGAAGTGGATATCGAATTAATCACTAGTGGAATGGCAGATATGACTTCCTTTCGTGAGAGAAAGAGGTCAAATGAGGTAGTCAAATAATATAAAAGAGAGGAAAAGATTGTAGAGACTCAGGATAACTCGATTAAAGACTTATAAGAAACTATCCAGCAAATCAAATAGCAGTGAGTTAGAAGCAAAGATAGTTATCGCTCCAAAATAAACTTTGATTTCCTTTGGTCAATATTTAGGTCATTTATCCATTTCCAATCTCACTTATCCTTTGAATTTTTTGATAGCATCTAGTCGGTATTTACCATTAAAAATAACCTCCCTTTCGTCATAGTCATATAAGTTCTTAAAAAACCGATGAACTTCGTTATTTTCTAAGATAGCATGAGATGCATCTATTTATTTTATATATTTGTTGTGATTTTTAATTTTTGGTAAAAAATTAGTATCATTTGATTCGAAATTTCATAAAAAAATTCCGGCAAATATTTTTATTTTATATATTAACAAAAAAATATGCTATAATTAAAGTCATAACATAAAAAATTTTAGATCTTAAAATTAAGATGTCTAACAATTTATAACTTGCTAGATGGTCTCATTGAGAGAATCAAATGGTGGTGATGTGATACGATCGATATTGACCGAGATATTTGGATTTAAATAAAAAATAGATTTTTTTTAATATTATCTACTACGAATTTCAAGTTTTGATTTATTATTATAATAATCGAAAATCTAATCAATTAATGTTATAATAATTATTTTTATTTCACCTTTCAATTGAAATACTCAGGGCTGACATAACGATAATACAAAATATTAATAATAATTTATATAAAATTCATAAGTTTCTAAATTATAATACTTTTATAAAATGTAATAAATGTAATAAAATTTA